TTATCACAAACGTCACACTTAATAGATGCCATTAATTGAAGCTTCAACGTATGAGGAGGGTGCATAGCATGTTTAATCAAATACTCTGGCAATTGACTACAAACAGGATGCACAAAAAAGTTGCATGATTTACACCTATAAGCCATCCCTTTGACATGGTTTTGACAAAGGTTACACTTATGGTAATAGATTTGTTGTGTCTCCATTAGTTGTAGAGCGTGTCGTGGGTGTGTGAATGAAGAGAGCATAACCGGGCTAGCTCCACAAGTCGAATGGATGTCGTAGTTGCATTGATCACATCGAAATCTCATGCCTCGGCCCTCAGATTTGCAAGACTTGCACTCGAATTTTGAGTTTTTGTACACTTCCTTTAATGGGTGTTTTGTGTTTTATGTATTGGATCCATTTTGGTTGTTCTAGGTGATACATTGTTGATTATGGTATAAACCATAATTGGTCATATAGTATATAGAACATGTATTTATATATATAATTCAAGCATATAGAAGATTCAAAGCTAGATTATCTTAAGGTGCGATAATCCGTTTGAAAATAACATAAATCAATTAAATTTATTACATAGTTTGAAATTTTCTAGCAATGTATTGTCACTGATCATGATGGATTTGTTAATATAATTTGTGTTTTTCTTCAAAGTTTAAACAGTCAAATTCATTTACAATATGATTATCTACTAGTCTTTGACAATTTAATTCAAATGCCATATAACCAAGATTAAAATATATAGATAACAGCTCATGAAATTCCTTGGAAACTTGTAATTGTTGACTTGTTTATTTATATATAGGGGGATTTTTTCCTCCTTATTTGATTACTTGCTTACTTTTTTTTTTTTTTTTTTTTTTGTGGCTTTATTTTATTACTGCTCCATTTTATTTATTTGAAAATCTTTACAATATTTTTACTAATTTCTTCTCTTATAGTGGACCCCTCAACTATCATACTTTAATATTTCCAAATTCCCTCTCCTCTCAACTACGGAGTATCACACTTTATTCTTTCACTAACCACTTCCTTTATATTTAACGAGTATTATTTTCTATTATTTCTCCTAAACTTCGCGCAATCGCGTATGGAGAAATTGAGCAAGTAATAAACTACAAAGGTAGAAATATTTATAATAATAATAAAAACAATAATTGGATTCACATGAAGAATATGCATTGCGATAATGTTGATACAATTTAAGCTTCAAAATGAAAGATGCGATAATTTTAATACAATTTAAGCTTCAAAATGAAAGATGCGATAATTTTAATACAATTTAAGCTTCAAAATGAAAGATACTCCCTTCATTTTGTAAAAAATAGTTTTATTGTATTATACTCTTAGGATTTAAAATGTTTCTTTAAAAGAGATATGATGAACGAAAACTTATTAATTTCTTAATTCGAAGTACATGAGAGTTTTGTGCGCACCAATTGTCAAGCATTCAAGCAAACCTAAAAAATTTCTTAACACGTAAAATGAGACATTTTTATTTATCTTCCCCCTAAATTTTTCCTCTAATGGAACTCTGAAAGACCCAAATGACTTCCAAAATTATAATAGTGCCCATGAGAAAATGGTTATGGACTTAGGGCTTATAGCCGTTATGCACTTATGAATTACTATACTCTAATAGTGATCTTGGTACATTTAGGCCCACTCCATCAGTGGATAATGTTAATCAAGCAAGTACCGATGAAACAACATTATGTTCTCCTACCAAAATAGTGTTATCTTTCTCTGAATAATTTTGACGGGATCTTGAATAAATCTTGTGTATAATGATGGGTGCATATTCATTTAATTGTCAAAGGGTTAGTTTGAGCGTAATTTTAATTATTTTTATGGTAAATTTAACCACTTGAAGGGTAACTTTTATTTTATCGTTACTTTGAATTTTTTTTTATTAAAGTGTAATTTTAATAGATACTTAATTACTAATATAAAAACTAATCTTTCAAAAAAAAAAAAAAAAAAAAATAATATAAAAACTAATAGGATTGATCTAATACATCATAAGTTATTTGTATGATAAAATTATTAATAGAAAAATAATAACTTTTGCAATATAAAAAGTAACTTTAATACTTTTAATGTAACTTTAATCCGTTTTATAATAATTTAACGTACACCCGCCTCTAAATATGATCCCTAATAATACTATTCTGTATTTTAATTTGGTCATTCTAAAAAAAAATTTGTAATAAGCCAAATTAATTTTGTCAGAGTGTAATGATAAAACAATAAGTTGTCATATCATTTGGACTACTTCTAATTACTACCTTACTAAATATTTATTCACAAGTTCGAGTCGAACTCCTTCACCACTGTTTTAGGAAGGGAATTGGGACGCAGGCAAGCAATCATGGTTAACATTGTTCCTCTTATGAGTGTGCATTATTCTCTTATGGTATCATACGAGGTATAAATTTATAAATGATTGATTAAATTTGGTTTTAAACAAGGAAAAATTAAAACTATAGCTTAGTAATCTCACATCTGTCTCATCCTCTCAAAATAATCTTACCTTTTTCAATTACGAAAACAATCCTATCTTAGCACCCCATTTTTTCAAAGTAATCAATACAATTGTTTAATCAACAAAATAAACGAACAGATTAATTTATGATCCAAAATAAACTCGAAATCTAATAATATATGTAGTACAAACACAATTTGTCTGAAATACTCATTAGTTAATAGTTGATACTCTACCACACATAGTAGACTTGTTTCTACTTACTAGTTGAAAGAGTCCTGGACTCCTGGTATTGGTCTATTGGACTGGACTCAAATCCATACAAAAATTTAATAATTTAGAATTTTAGATAGAATCATTCAACCCAAAATATGAATGATATCCATTAAACTAATGAAAAAATATATCTTGGCCTTAAAAAAAATAGAATAAAATAAAAAAGATTTGAAACCGAAATTGATATTGTCTTTCTTTCATATTAATTGCAATTTTTGTTTTATTAAAATTAAATGTTACTTCCTCTGTCCTTTAATTACATTATTTTTCACTGTCTCTTTGCTCATCACATACATCACTTATCTCTCAAGTTACACTCACTAATAAATTTTGCATAAGAATCCATACGGTCCTCCAAAATTATAGATAATATTCCGTATTAAACAAATGTAGTACATATAACTGACTCGGTTACAAAATTCCACCAAAAAAAAAAAAAATCTAGTGTATGTTTGTCGGTAAAGCATGTGTGTTGTTATAATAAACCATCATATCATAATCTTAATATCTATATCCATCTTTATAAATTGCTCAATAACAAACTTTAACAGCTAGATAAATATATATTGGGCCTTTTTGGGCCCACCAGAGCCTATTAGTGGGCCCATCACCATTAACAATACCGTATGTCACGCTCTAAAAACCAGCCTGTCTTATTCCTCAATTTTATTTAATTTTTATAGCACCACTTGCTCTGTCTAGTATAGTTGGATCTCGCAATCATTTTAATGAAGCAATAGTAGTTCAAAAGTTTATAAATGGAGCACTATTTATATTGTATTTGTTGGCTAATTCTATACATTAATGTGGGAAACATACTTAAGATTGAAACTATCATAATCAATTATACGTACATTTTACTTAATGTGTTATAAAGCAAGACTTTTTCCGCTTTATTAGCTACAAATTAAAGTAACTCACATTCTGTATGTTACTAGATAGGATATTATGAGCACATCTGCTCGGATTAGTTGTCACGTTGTTATAATGTTTAATGACGTAACTATCTCACTCTTATTTCGACTTTTGGCTTTATTGTTTTAGATGTAGATGTTTCCTTCAAACAGAGCTACGGAAGATAATATACCTAATTTTTAATTTTCCTCTAATTTTTCGAGTTTAAAGCAAACAAGATTCTAGAAACAATGAAATAATTCAATGCTAGGTTGGAATGTTATTCTTAAAAAATTTCTAAATCACGAAAAAGGTGGAAATAATTAAATGTATATTCTTCTTGTAGTAACTGTATAACGTAGAGCGTAGGAATACGAAATCTATCTTTATAGGAATTCTAATAACTTCATCCTTAAGAATAGACTGAACTGTTTTACTATTCCATAATTCATGTATAATTAGTATAGGTTTCCAAGTTGAACACTCCAATAGTCAATTTATAGTGATTTGAACTGTCATAGGGTATGTGACAAGAAACATGTGTAATTCATTACTCATCATTCATGCAGCTATAATAGTCTACAAAGACTCTATACTTGCACAACAATCTAGCAACAGGTGTGAGGTTAGAGGTCGAATCTTAACTCCATATATATATTTAACACATTTACCTCATTTATGTACATACTACCAGTACAAAATGTGATTCATAGATGAAATCTTGCTAAAAAAATACATGAAAACATTTAATATAACGTAGCATTACTAATTCGTTTTTTTTTTGTTAGTTAGATATGATTACAATTGACTAATTCTATAGAATTTACGCTTTGTGGTATTCTATAATCCCTTTTTTCATTGGGAGCTAAACACTCTAACATAACATTAATTAATCCTGAAACGAACTTTAAAGACACATTTTTCTACTCAACAAGTATAAAATGCCATGCCTCATTCTTTCTTTAATTAGTATCTTAACTAGTGAACTATTACCAGTAATCACCGACAAGTAGACAAAATAAAGTCTAATTAACAGCACACTTAGTGGCCAACCATTCCTACATACCTTTACACACAATACCAGGTATGAACTCTTTGTAACACCTACTAAATCCAATGTTATACACTACTTAAATTTAAGGCCTTGTCTTTATTCATTAATAAAATTATAATTATATTAATGTAATTAGTAATTTAATCAAATCCTATGCCTGCACTTAGAAGTATGCCACCACATTGCAATACAATTAATTGCAACATTATAATTAAATTAAGAGTAGAAAAATGATTCAACATGCCACGTTCTTTTAAGAAATTTCCTTCAATTATTTGTGTACTACTATCAATAATGACCAACCGGCCAAGCTATATACCCATTATATAATTGAGCGCATAAATAAATATCACTAAGTAATTAATAACACTGATCAACACATGAAGTAAAATTAAATTATCCAAAGTAACTAAGTAAGCGAATATGGGAAAATTAGTTGGCACCTAAAATAAAAGATTTTTCCTTTACAGATATGATTCTTGAAAAAATAAAATTTCATCTACCCATGACTTTTTTTTTTTTTTTTTTTATCCTTTTCTTTTTTTGGAATTCTAATTTTCCATTTTTGAAAAAAGAGAACCCCCATATATTTCTCCACCCTTAAAAAATTTAAAAATTACCCAACAAAAATCTGTAATTGACCAAAAAAATTTACTTCCAAAAAAAAAAAAAATTAAATCAATTTACAGGCTTGCCGTTATTGTAGCCGTAATAAGAAAGATACCACCTAACAAACTTTTTCAACCCGGTTTGTAAATCGGTAGTGGGCTTATACCCGAAATCTTTTTGGGCCAAACTAATATTCGCATGAGTAAACGGAACGTCACCGTTTCCAGGCATTTCGACTACATTCTTCTTCGCTTTCACTTTCAAATGCTTCTCTAATATACCGACAAGTGTCGGTACCGTTACCGGTTGTGTGTTCCCCAAATTGTATATTCTATACGGTGCTACCCCTCTTTTTTTACCGCCACTTCCGGTACTTTTTCCTGACGTGTCCAATGCTCCTAAACACCCTTTTACGACGTCGTCTATGTATGTGAAATCTCTTGCTAGATCGACTTTGTTTTTACCTCTGTAAACGGTGATTGGTTTTCCTTGTAGGATGTTTCGGGTGAAGGAGAAGTACGCCATGTCGGGCCGGCCCCACGGGCCGTATACGGTGAAGAAGCGGAGCCCGGTTATGGAGAGCCCGTATATGTGGTTGTATGTGTGGGTGATTTCTTCGCCGGCTTTTTTGGTTGCGGCGTAGAGGGATGCGGGTTGGTCGGTTCGGTCGAGTTCGGAGAACGGGCTCTTCTCGTTGAGCCCGTAGACGGAACTAGATGAAGCCCATACGATGCTCGGTTGCGGGTTAGCCGACTTGCAGACTTCCAGCAAGTTGACTAGACCCGCAATGTTGCTGTGGACATACGACATCGGGTTCTCGATCGCGTATCGAACACCGGCTTGAGCCGCGAGGTGCATCACGTGTGTGAACGCGACCGTGTCGAAGAGCTTCGACACGATCTTGAAGTCGTTGATGTCACCCTCGACTATGAATATTCCATGAGATTGTAGTAGATTCTTACGAGCCCGTTTTAACGACGGGTCGTAATAATTGTTGAAATTGTCGAGGCCCACGACTCCATCGCCTCGTTTTTTCAAGGCGAGGGAGACGTGGGACCCGACAAAACCGGCAGCGCCGGTAACAAGGACGGACATACCACCAGATCGATGGATTTGGGCGGATGTCCGTACTTGTTTCTCCCATTGAATACCGCCCCAAGAGGCGGTAAAATACTTGCTACCCGTATCAACGAAACTCTGAAAACTCAAATACGACGCCGTAAGAGCAATCAAGAACAACGCCCAAAGAAACATGGTACTAGTGGAAGCGAAACAACGATGAAGCTGACGATTCATGAAATAATGAGCACCCCTTTGATCAACCTTAAATTTCCCAGGTGTTGAAGGGAAGAGTTCGTCCTCTAATTGAGGCATTACTATTCTCTTTTGATTTTCTCTCTCCAGAAATTTAATCATTCAATTGGATTTTAATGGAGATTATTAGCAGATGCAGAGGAAAGAGAAAGGGAAGAAAATGGGAAATGGTAAAATCTGCATCTGCAAAGAGAAAAAAAAAGGGAAGAGATAGAGGTGGGGGATATATAGTGGTCACCCACAAGGAAAGAGAGAGGAATGAAGATAAGGACAATTTAACCAAACTAGACGCGTGAACGCGTTATAAAGACGGGCAGGTTGGATGTATTTCAGTATTTCTACTGCTTACTTACTGTGCTCAGTATTTATGACTTTTTAACTTGACATAGAACCCGTGTGTGTTGTGTGTGGGCGTTTCGGGTACAGTAATTATGGTCTGCTTTGTACGAGTAATTTTTAGCCCCGTTCTTTGCCTAGGGCTATAGGTATGAGTTTGGGTGTTTGGGTCGAGTTTGGTGAAATCGAGTCTATTAATATTTGAGTCGTTTTAAATTATTGTGTCTATATGAATTAAATCGTTGGGTAAGATTTCGACACCTTTGATTAGGGTTTGGGTGGTTTTTGGGTCGTGTTATGAACTTCTTCCCGTTTGTATTTTATACGGTATATGAATATAATTAAATAAGGGAAAACAAGAAAGTGGTGAACAAAGTTGGGAGGGTTATTATTTTTAACTTTGACTATTTTAAGATTATAAAAGAAGAAATTTTTTACGGAATCAATGGTGTTGATTAAATATTCTAATTGTTTGAAGAATTGCACTTCATATTTCTATTATTTAAATTTGTATTTTTGTATTCTTTTTGTGTAAATGTGTAAATAATATGTATCTATCATGAAACTGATTAGTAATTAGTTATTCATCTGGACAATATATTAGTTGTTTATCTGGAAAATATTTTAGGTGATTGTGTGTATCATGTGATTTAGTTACTTCTTTGGCAAAGATTAAGATTTTATTAATTTATATATATATATATATAAAAAAAAAACTATTCATCTACTAATTACACTATATTCTATTATTTCCCCCCTTAAATTCACTTACCCTACCAATGCTCTTCAATTGTTTAATTTTAAGTGGGAACAAAAAATTATTTGAGAGTAGAATTTGAGGGACTGATTGGAGCTAAATTGAACTGAATAGAGTTGAAATAGATTGTTTATGATAGAAGGAAATTAAAAACTAAAGTAAAATATTTGGAGCTGAACTGAAATTAATCTGAACATAATAGACCATAAGTAAGCTGATTTTGTGATTTTGTCGGTTCAAAAAAGAAAAGTAAGCTGATTTTGCAAATGGCCCAAAAAGCTAAAGCCCATCTTATGTTTCATGTTTGTAATGAGTTCATGACCCGTACATTTGGGTACAAATGTTATAATGGACTGTTTTACTTCGTAATTGTTTTGGGTCGTGGACCTCGTGATACAACATTAGGACTCTTAGTATTTATTTCATTTTCACTATAAAATGAAATAGTTAAATTAGTTTTACTCTTACCCATATTTCTTACTTCCAAAGTTCCAATCATTTTATAGGTTAATTTATGAACAAATGTGCTAAGGTAGAAAAATATTTTCAAAATCTTAATCAGCAAATATGGCTATACATCTGTTAAGGGTAAGCCCAAACTCTGAGATGAGATCTGATCGTATGATCATAAGATTGTTTAAACTTGACTTTTATTGGTATACAATAACAGCTGACTTTCAATCAATAAATATATCAAAAAATAAAAAAAGTAATAATAGTAAATAGAAACAATATATTCATATATAATTTCATTGTTAACTTGTGCACCAGACAAAGACTAGTAACATTAGAATACATATACAAGTAGTAAATCACACTTACATAAGTCGAAAAATAAAAACAACACTTAATAATTATAGTACAACAAATACAAACGTACAAATCATGAACAATAATCACAAATTTAAAAATCAACAAATAATTATAAAACATATTTTCTTACAAGCTTGTAAAATATTTTAGTTAATAGTTACCATCATCATCATCACCTCCACCTGCTCCTGAACCAGCATGAGAACCAGCATACGATCCAGCCTCAGAGCCAGCTCCCGACCCACCACGGGAACCAGAACTGCTAGAGGAGGATGATGAACTCGAGCTCGAGCTTGAGCTACCTGAACCCGAACCTGAGCCAGCACCGGCGCCTGAGCCACTTCCACCTAGCCCAACACCTATTCCTACACCAACACCTATGCCACCACCTAGGTCCAACCCTAGATCCTTTCTTTCGACACGACCCTCGGACATGTTTGCTAATGTTGATAACAATAACAAGGATGATAATAAAAGAGCTAGACTAGTTTTGATCGTGGCCATATTGTGGATGAAATTAATTTGTAACTAAATTATGTAAAATGATGCTTGATTTAATGAAGTGTATTTGATTTTGGTGATAGAGTGAGTTTCTGAATAAGCTAAGGCCTATATATTTATATGGATGCAAAAGGTGGGATGGTTGGAGGAGAATTGAAAGATCGATATATCATGGTGCATACGCGCTAACTAACTACATACGCAGTAATACACTAATACCTATTTATTTTTTGGTAGTGTGTAGAGATAGCCACGAAGAGCAAATGATGTAAACGAACAGGCCAGGATTTACATAGACATATTGATGATTGGCTATTTGACCAATTTGCTTGCTTATATTTATCTTACACCAATAATTAGTGCATATACACAAATTCTCATTCTCTTTTTGTTGAGCTTGATGCTAGGGTTTTACTAATGCATGCTTACTTGCTTAGGCACATTAGTGCAATCATGTGTTGTCAATCTTAAATTAAATGACTTAAGCCTTGATGAAAATGGGGTGGGAGTGATCGTCGGTAAGTGCTTCATTATGCTATAATATATGCATCACTTACTAATTACTTTCACTACTAACTACTAAATTTTCTTCTATCTACCAAGTGGGAGTATAGTAGTAAACTTTTGATTAGTGTCACTCAAAAATTTAACTAAACAATTTGCATTTGTACAATTTATAACAAGATTAATTTTGGAAATTGGTGTATTCTTATAGTATTACGTATTATAGTATTAAAGCTATATGATTATATTTGGTTTGATGGAGATATCTTCGGTCAATTAAAAATTTTCATGAAATACATTTTTTCAATAGAAAATACAACAATTATATTCCTTTTTTGGTTCAATATATTTCCTTCCAAAAGAAAGTTGAAGAGAACGTTGCAATAAAATTGATTAAAGGGAGGAGAATGATGTACGTAGCTATCGTTCTATACAGAAGGTTATATTTTCCATCAATATTGAAATTGTTTTCACTCTTGATTGATAAACCACCAAGGGAAAATGAACACATTACTCGCAACAAAGGAATACTTTATGTCTCACAAATAATACACCAAGAGAATATATGGTATTATTATTTTCCTGAAAAATATGTTACACCAAGAGAATGATGCCTACGACGATCACTGCACGAGCTAGAACTTGAACTATAGCTTCCAAGCTCAGGCACCTCCGCGGTAGGGATAGGCCTAATCTAAGCCAGCCCCAAGATGACTAGCTTAGATCGGCACCGTGCGCATCGCCCGTCCTTAGCTTCCTCGCAATAGCTCGACTCACAGTCAACAAGAAAGCATATATGGTATGACCGTATGAACGTAAGATATAATATTGCACCGTCCCATGCAAGAATTTGGTCCCGCCCACTATTTTTGGTAACAAAATACTCATGTTGAGGATGAAATTAGCGGCTACCACTAAGTTTTGTTGAGGATTCTATAATAAAGCATCGCTTGCACAGTTGCACGCATACCGGATTTGTGGATCAAATTTTGCCTTAGTGCATGCTCTCTCTAGGATCAGTCGCACAAGATATGTATTGCACTAGTTACGTGCATATATTAATTAATTGATTGGTTCATTGCACATACACATGGTGTATAAAGAATCTTATACACTATACAAGTTTTGCTAATCATTCATCGACTATTAGGTTTTTTTTTTTTTGGTAGGTATTGACAAGTGTATGGGTCAGAGTCAATATTTAATCTATAAAAAAATGAGTAGATGGTATCCCTAATTGAATAGAACAAGGTGAATGATTGTTATCAATTTGAATTCAATATAATTGTATTTATAATGTATTCAACTTTTTTTTTTTTTTTTTTTTTTTTTAAAAAAAAGAAGAAACTCGCATGCAACCAATGATTGATTTATAAGGGGCACAAATTACACTAGGAAAACAATTATAATTCCTACCTATCTAATTGATGTGATCAAAATTTAAAAACTGCACCCTATAAGTTTTTGACCATATATTTTTGTTTACGTAAAAGAAATTTTATTTTATTTTGTTTTGTTATGATTTGGAGAATTTTCAGCTTCAGTTCATAAGAATAAATTAATACATATTCAAAATATTTACTTTTCATACTTTGTATTTTTTAATGGTTAAATTGATATACAACCCTAATATTAGATATGATTTTTAAAATTATTTCGTACGGAGTAGTTCTTTAGGGATTTACAAAAAAATTCACACATCTTAATGTTGTTAATACATGAGAAACCCACATTTAAGTTTTGAATTTGAATAATGTATGTGTTAATGTATGTTAAGGGTTAAATGTTATGGAGTATATATGTGCTAATATGTGCGTTGGTAGGTAATCATGAAAAACCAAGTACGTACTTAGTATATAGGCCAGGTATATATTTGTACAAAAAATAGCATTATTGAATCTTGATATTTTATAATGATGATGATTTTTTTTTTTTTTTGAAAGATAATGATGATGAATTTAAATTGAGCTGAACTGTAACTAAACTATATTGTCTATATATATGTACAGTTGGAAGTTTTTACATAGTGAAAATTGTGTAAATTGAACCGAAAAGTAAACTTGATAAAATTATGGAGATAAAATTGAGTGAATTCAATATTGAATTATTCTAATGAAATTATATAGAGAGAAATTTGCTTAAATTGAATTGAACACAACCGAAATTTTGAAAATAGGTCCAAAAGAACAGGGCTGGGTTGACTTTTAGTTTTAACTACAACGGAGTAATGTGCAAAATGGCTTCCTACTAACTAGAAAGACGAAATGACTAGTGATATCTCGTTAACATTAGTATTTACTTGACTTGAGGTAAATTGTACTAAATTGTAAATGTTTCAAGACAATGCTCTTGAATTGTAAATAATTCCTGCAAGAATTATTTCTCTTTTGAGTACATACATACATGTATGCTTGATTATACACAAGATTAACCTTTTATCTCATTCACTACATTTTGAGGAAAAAAGAAAAAACTTTTATACATACACTACTTAAAGTAGTACGAGTAATAAATTCAACCTTCTTATCTTTGTTCTACTTGTCATTAGAAAAGAGTTATTAGACTTATTACCGAATTACAGAGTATACACTAGTATATAAGATGTGAGTTGAACTTCACTATAATAGATATTTTCCTTTACATTGAACACACCGAGTACATGATTTAGGAACAATACAAATCCAAGCCATGCAAGCGAATGGACTTAATTTCCTTAATATATAAAGTACTCTTTTATTCTGTTTGTACGATACATATGTTGCCATACATTATTGTCACATCAAACAATGAACAATTTTAAATTAGAACTTATGCTTAATCTCCACCACCTCCGTAACCTCTGCCATATCCACCACCTTCACCATGTCCATATCCACTTCCACCACCGGAACCTCCACCACCGCCACCGCCACCACCGCCACCACCACCACCTCCTCCTCGTCCGCCTCCTCGTGATCCACGACCTCCTGATCTAGACCCAGCGCTTGAGCCAGCATAGGAGCCTGCTTCAGAACCTGCATTTCCACCTCCACCTGAGCTCGAGCTTGAGCTAGATGAAGCAGAACTTGAGCTAGAACTTGAACCACCGGACCCTGATCCAGCTCCAGCACCAGCTCCAGAGCCCGATCCACCACCAAGACCTAAGCCTAGCCCTAACCCTAATCCAACCCCTACACCACCAAGGTCTATACCCAATTCCTTCCTAGCTACCCTATTCTCAGGTCTCTCAATCTCAGCAAAAGAAGTTGTAACAAGTAGGGCAATGAATAGTGCAATACATTTTAGACGATCCATGTTTAATTTTTGTTTCAAAACTATCAAATCAGTTGATTGTGAAGTAATTTGAAAGCGTAGAGGGGCTATTTATAGATCCATGGCATATGATAGTGCAAAAGCAAGGTGTTCTTACTTGGTGTTGGATAATTATTAAACATATAGTGCTCGAAAATTCTAGAATTTTTTTTGTATAAATTATTATTAAACCTAAACTCGTGGTTACAATTTAAATTTGCCGCGTTAGGGCACTAACATGTGCATAAAAAATGGTCCGCGCATTATTTTTGCTTGTGTAGCCTTAGTGTGTTAGTAATACAAAACAATTTCATACGTGCTATGCCATTTTAGATATGAATATGAATTTAGCGGCTACCACTAGGTTTTGTCCACCATTAACAATTTACTTGCAAAAGGAAATTGTGGTTGACATTTTGCCATCTCAAGGTTTATCTTAGGATGAGTAACATGCATGTATTAATCAAACTTAATAGAATAAAATTATATACTAAGCAATTAAGCATGCATGTCATTAGTCATGTTGTGTTCTTATGAGTTAGTGATGGGGGTCAAGCAACAGAGTGTTTTAAATTATCTATATTATTAATACTAAGACAAGAATATAATTCTAACAGTAAACAATTATCTTTTGAAGAAAAACCCTAACGAATATATAGTATAATTATTTACACACGCATTACTACTCAATTAGGGTTTATCATGAACACCATAAATCTTTTTCACCTATTTATATTATTGTCAATCGATATAAACTCATCTATTAAACAATTTAATTGTCATAAATAATTTCAATATATGAAATTGGATTCTATTATTGTGTTTCAGAATGGAATGCACCTTGTACCTACACCTTTTGGAAGCTTATTCCGGCCATGGAAGAGAAGAGTTGATGCAAATCTCGAAGGCCAACATGGTAAAATTAGAGGTGGAAGATGCACTGAATCAGTGTAAAGCGTGTATTATTCATCAAATTTTCATTAATTTGAACTTATCTTATCATATATGAATTTAAGCTTAAATATAAACTTATTAAAACTTGTTTTAATTACTTGTAATTTGAATTTTAATTTTCATCAACCTTTATCAGAATTTATTTTTACTGTACTTGTCTTATTTGAATTTATTTATGAGACCTGAGGTGAACATAACATGACTATATCAAGATGTAATTAGAATCAATCGCGATGTCTTCCTTGATTTTTGTTTTTTAAGGAGAACAATTCTTCACATCATTGCACGCAACATGATGAAGATCGACCAGGGGAAATTCCAAATTGAAGGCATTGGCACAACATGATATTGAACTGAATTGAACTAATTGAAGCTGAACTTAACTCATTGGAGTTGAATTAAACTAAACTAAACTGAATAGAGTTGAAATGAATATTTTATGAGAGAAGGAAATTAGGAGCTTAACTGAATTGAACTGAACTAATTGGAATTGAACTAAATTGAACTGAACTGATTGGAGCTCAACTGAACTGAAATTAAGCTGGAGTGAACATGCCCTAAATCATTATTCAATCGATTTTAAGCAGATGTGTTCTTTCTGACATTTTGACATATTGGTTATTGGTAAAACAACTCTAACATCATCTAGCTAGACCTAAAAAGTTTACAATATCGAACTTAAATATTGCTAGATTGTTATTACTTAAATTATTCTTAGACTAAACATGTGCACCAGTGTTTGAACAACTAATACACACAACTTGCATCTAGACCTCGATTATATTGAATAACAACGCAAAAATGGTATAAAGTTATTCTTTCATTGTTCTTTAATACTTGAGAAATACTTCGTACTAAAATCGATAATAATTCATTAGAGGAAATCCATCAAATTAGTTGTACATGATTGTAAGATTGTGTAAATCTCCTTGATTAGGATATTCTCATTATTCATTAATCAATATATATAGGGATTACTAAAATCGACATATATACTTTCCGTTCAAAAAAAATAAAAAAAATAAAAAAATAAAAAAAATGACATATATACTTGTATATGGTTTATTAGTATCAAAGACTCAAAGTCATAAACAAACACTTGTCATTGAAAAGATCGAGTTGTGCTGCCGATTTATTTTAGATGCAAAGCTGAACTTCACAATATATAAAAACAACTTATAATTGACAATATAATACGTGGTACATGATATTATTATTTGAATACTAGAATTAATGAACATATTGAAAATACAAACAAGCAAGCTAAAAGCTGATTAAACAAATAGACTTTTTATATGGGACACCTTTCTTTTTATTCTGTTACACTACTCACAAACAGATGCTATATATCTTAGAGGATATTAACACTAGCATATTGACGACCATTTCATGTAGACTTCAAATTAATTTAGTCTTCACCGCCACCATATCCTCCACCATACCCGCCACCTTCACCGTGTCCATACCCACTTCCTTCACCTGAACCACCACCGCCGCCACCACCTCCACCTCCGCCACCACCTCCTCCACCACCACGGCCTCCACCTCGTGATCTTGACCCAGATCCGGCTCTTGACCCAGCATAGGATCCTGCTTCAGAACCCGCATTTCCACCTCCACCTGAGCTCGAGCTAGATGAAGCAGAGCTGGAGCTAGAACTTGAACCACCGGATCCAGATCCAGCACCGGCACCAGCTCCAGAGCCCGATCCACCACCGAGTCCCAATCCTAGACCCAAACCTACCCCTACACCCCCGAGATCTATACCCAAGTCCTTCCTTGCAACCCTACTCTCACCGAATATAGCAGAAGTTGCAACAAATAAGGCAAGGAAAAGTGCAATAAATTTTAGACGTGCCATTTTTGATTTGTTTCAAATATTATGATCAACTCAATTGATAGTAAGGAAATAAGTATGTAAGAAGGGCTATTTATAGATGCCAAAGTAAGGTGATCATACTTGGTGTTTTGATGATTCAACATATATAGTAACAATTTTTGATTATTTTACTAGTTACTTAACCTAATTTGTGGTTGCCAATATTTTGCCGCATTATGGAACCGTCCCATGCAAAAAAGGTCCCACGCACTATTTTTAGCTTGTTGACTTAATTGTTTGCCCTAAATCCCTAACTTTTAACTTTTTATTTCGTAATTGTCTTTGAGTTTTTAAGCTTGTAAGATGAAGTTAGTGACTAACAAATCACTAGGCTCTGTCCACCATTAATAACTTGCTGAGGATTATTCAATATATATATTTTTTTTTTTTAATTTTACTTGCATTCATTTTCATTATACATAATGAATAAAGAAATATAATGATTGCCATCTCAACTTTCAATTAAGTTCTCTTCACTTCTTCAGGAGGATGATTGAATATCATACATTAATTAATACTTGTATAAATTAAATAATTAAGTTCCTAGTAAGAAGAGCGATCATGGCAACCTAAATTTTTAATGATTGAGGTCAAGAAACCTTTTCTTAATCGCTGTAATAGGTTTCTTCAAATTAAATTTTAGTAATAAATAATTATTTGTACTCCATATAATGTTTTTCTCATACAATGTGCAATACGATTTTCAAATGCAACATGTATGTAGGCGAAATTATAATAAAAACAAAAAAAAAAATGTGTGAATGTGTATGTGATATGTACTCTTCCTTTTTTTTTTTTTTTTTTTTTTTTTTTTTTTTTTTTGACAACATTACAAAGTTGATTATTGTACATATTTTTCTAAATAAATATCGACCTATCTTTACTCAGTTGGTGTTTATCATCATATCATTAACATTTAGATCTTTGTATGGTTAACGTATCGTGAATATAAGTAATTTGAAATCCATCATTCATTCTAACTACTGCTCGTTGCCATATGCCTGAGCATTTAGATCTTTTATGGGTAACGTATCATAAACATAAGTAATTTGAAATCGTTCATATTAATTACTAGTAGTCATATAGTAGATATGCTAGCAAGAATAATCGAATTATTGAGACTGTATAGTATGTTAGTGAAGCTACCGCCGCTATAAGGTAGTTGCTATTCACTTTTAAAGTCTTAATTAGCTACCCATACTACTTCATACATATGTAGTTGTATATGTGTTGAAACTCATTATATTCCCACTTGTGAGTGTTTCATGACTCCGGATCTCAAAAACAAAATAAAAGAGAAATATAATAGTTCCACCATTTTTTTTCATTTTTCTTTTTGAAAGAATATAGTTTCACTTTTTAAGGTAGAGGAGTTACTCTTACGTACTATCATCAATAATTGGTTTTATTATTGATACTCCTTTGAGCTTATAAGTGGACAACCGAACTCTCCTACTTTATGCGCGCTTGAGATACCTAATACCAGTACTTGTGACATAAGTACTCCCGTAGTTAACTATATGCATGCTCACCCATCATGTACTTGCTAATTGGATTAGTACTCTTATACTCCATAACAGTTTTAATAAAGATACAAACTAAAACCTATTTAAAGGGACCATATACTCTCTTTGCTAGCCAGTCATCTAACGAACTTCTCGTTTAAAATCTAAAGCTCTCTCGAAAAATATATAGGCCATGTTTGGTAAATGGATTTTTGGTTAGCTTTTGGCTTTTTTATGAGGTCAAACAGCCAAAAAGTGTGCTTGGTAATTGGCTTTTTAACCAGTGAAAAAGCTGGCTTTTAAGCCAAAATGAAAAAGCTATTTTGAGTAGCTTTTTTGTTGGTTTTTGGCTTGTTGGCCCATAAATTATCTAATAAACAACCAACTACCAACAATTAATTTACCAAACACTTTTATAAACAGCCAGCTTTAACAGCCAATTTCAAAAGTCATTATAAACAGCCAAACATACCACCTGGTCAAACAAGCCAAGTGAACCAACCAACAACCACTTGCCAAACAAGGCCATAACCTATTTAAAGGGACCATATACTCTTATGGAATTTCGCTTATTTCATTTCAATACATAGTCATTAGTATCATTATGCAAAAATTGTACTTATTCTCATTGTTGCTACAATTTATACATATAGGAGTTTAAATAAGAGATTTATATAGGATGCAAAATGAAATTTTCATTATAAACTTTTTTTGACGTCATTACAATTCAATGAATAACACACTGCGTAAATAAAAACGCAAACTATATATAGCTAGCAAAGCAAATCGACTTTCTACAATGGGAAACCTTAAATATACTTTATTCTATTTGTGTACTCTTTAAAGTACATAGATGTTGCCATGCATGGTAACTTGCATTGCTAGTCATTAAACAATAATAAACAAGCTCTCTTAAAAGCTCATTTTCAATTAACACAAGAATGTCAACTTAAATTTAGCTTAGACTTCATATTTAGTCCCCACCACCACCATACCCTCCACCATGTCCACCACCTTCACCATGTCCATACCCACTTCCTTGACCCGAACCACCACCGCCACCTCCTCCTCCACCACCTCCACCACCGCCTCCTCCACCACGACCACCACCTCGTGATCTTGAGCCTGACCCAGCACTAGACCCGGCATAGGAGCCTGCTTCAGAGCCTGCACCTCCTCCACCTGAATCTGAGCTTGAGCTAGATGAAGCAGAGCTCGAGCTAGAACTTGAACCACCGGATCCAACACCAGCACCGGCTCCAGAGCCAGATCCTCCACCAACACCCAACCCTAGGCCTAACCCTAGCCCTACACCACCAAGGTCTAAACCCAAGTCCTTCCTTGCAATCCTACTCTCACTCAATACAATAGAAGTTGCAACAAGTAGTACAATTAGTAAAGCATTAGATTTTAGACGAGCCATATTTTGATTTGTTTCAAATATAGAGAAGAATGAAAGGGATATTTATAGTAAGAAAATAAGTGAACCTTGTGGTAAGATGCTAACCATTAGACCATTACATAAAAGTGGAGTGACGGTCGAATTTTTTTGTACAAGAAAATTAATAAAAATTTTAGTTTATGGTTTTATGACATGTACATTTGTGAAGGTTGTTATATGCCATGTGATTTCCACTAAGGAATTATTGTGATAGTGGAATGCATGAAATTGTCCATTATATTAAAGTTTGATGACTATCATTGTAAGTTTTGGCATGCTCAAAATTTTTTTTCCTACACAAAAATAAATCTCTATTATTTCACTTCAATTCATATGTGCATCCTTACACGATTTCAGTAGTAAGCTTTTTAGCAGGATGATGAAATCTTATCTTGAATAAGGCCTTCTTGTTGATGATTTCCCACTAGGTCGGTATACTAAGGAAGTGGTACGGGAAAGCATCCGCCGAACAGTCTAGATCTTCCGAGACACGTATTCTATCTGTCTTAAAATAATTAAGTGCTAAATTTTTACTATTTATAAGGTTGAACTTTATAATCTTTGAATGTAATTCGTTAGTAAACTATGGATTGGAGTTTCAATGTTTCATACAAGTACTATTATATATATCTTTGATTAAACTGTTAGTATATATAACTTGTTTGAGATTATTTCAATTTTTAATAATTTTTATTAGGGTGTACTCTATTCACAATTTTTTACTTATTTGAATCTATAAAACTTATACTAGTTGTATTTTGTACTTGGATTGGATAATCGGCCATTATCAAATTAAACTTCATTTTTCTAAACTAAACTTATTATTACACCTGAAACAAGTGAAATAAGGTGAACAAATTAGGACTATGAACTATAAGATTTTTTTTTTTAATTTTTTTTTTATGATCAATAGTGTACCTTGGAGATGCACTACTAAATTTAAGTCAAAATGTGACATTTATTTGTAAGACGTAGGGAAGAATTTTATCTTAGTAATTATTTATGATTGAAAAAATATTAGAAATATATTTATAGACAAAATAGGCCTTAATTTTTTTGGTTTTATTTGGTGTTTAGAGAGCCACAAAGATGGGTGATAAGAATCGATCCCAAGACCTCTTGAATTCGGGAGAGGAGCTCTAACCACTCGAGCTATATCTCAATCTAATAAAACCTTTATTTTATTTTATCAGAAAAGCCAAGCCAAACTTGTATATATAATGAAGTAATTAGTTCCACTAAATTTATAACTTTTTTAACATTATTAACTTTGTGTCGGTAGAGTTATTTTTTCTCTTTTTCCTGGACCTTTAAACATTACTACATTTTTGATCAAATGCAACGCCAAAAAATGAGCTATTGCAACGCCCTATTCAATGTCGTCGCAATAGATAGCCTATTGCAACGGTAGGGTTAACTAATACAATAGTCAATTATATATCATATCTACTGCAACGGTCCCTTATATACCGTTGCAATAGATTGGGCTAATACAACGGCAATAAGAGCTAACACAACGGCTGCTAAAGTTTTAATATTTTTTTCTTTCCCTCCGTATTTTATACCCAAAATTTTGAAATTCTAAATTAAAGTATCCAAATATTTTAACCCCCTCGGTTTTTTTTTATCTCCAAATTCCCCTTCTTCAATTCATTTGGTTAGGGATTCCTCCAATTTTGAAGTCCATTGAAGCACGTAGTACTCTGAATCCTTTCCTCTCTGGTCCAATGAAGCAGTACTCTGAATCCTTTACATTCAAGTTGTATTTTGAATTCTCCATTGAAGCCGTACATTAAGCTCTTCTCTGAAATGGCTTTTGGGCCTTTTGTTCTCCATTGAATCAGCTTCTCGGGTACTTTTTTTTTTTCTTATAAATTATCACCGACTATCGATTTTACAATCTAGGGTTTGCCTCTTGGCTTTTGTTTTATATTCATATTTTTGATTTTAGGTAATTGATTTATAAAAAAGGATTTGTAATTGATTTGTAATCATCATCGACTATCATATTCTAGGGTTTATGGAGGTGATGGTGGTGGTGACGGTGGTCGCGGTATCCATTACGGTGCTTCGATTTCTAGGATTTTGGATTATAGCTGAGAAGAGATTTAAGACTACCACTCCTCTCCTCACTACCACATGCACGGTATTCTTTCCCTCTTCTCTCTTTAAGCTAAAAATTAATGAAGTGTTTGTCAATGTTCAAGTAAGATTTCAGCCTGATTTTGCAATTCCGATCCCTTGGAATTTGATTTTGCAAAGCTTTGGAAATAGTTTGATATTGTACTGTGTTATTGGTTTTAGCTCTTAAATTAGTTATTGCTACACCTCTATACTTGTACGTATTGCTGTTTTCTCTATTCTGTAAATTCAAAATGATCTGGTAATCTTTTTTGCTCTACAGTTGTAGTATCAGATCTTGTGCTGCCATTCAGTGGCGAATCCAGGATTTAAATAATAGGTTGTCCCATCCCATCATCGTCCACCGACCGCATAAAATATCAAAAAATAATCAAAGCTTGAATAATGGACAAAAAAAAATACATAAAAAAGTTAATTTCATAAAGTAATTCAATTTCATATTACAACTAAAAAAGTACTAATTTTATTACAATTGCTCTCGACGAGTTTTCATATTTTGATAACGATGTACAATATCATCCATGCTTGAAATAATGTGACAAGAGTAGACACTTTTTTAGTAAAAAAAACTTGAAATATCTCGAGTTGTTTTTATTTTCATTCTGAAATTGAAGTTAAAGGTTGAATTAGATAAATCATACAAGTAGGGTTCTCTCAAGGTTATTAAAACTAATAATATCATAAAAAAAACGCCCATTGACCTCAATTTCAGTCCACCAAACCCCAAATCTCCAAATTAGCAATCACCATTCTCAATAGCTAATAAGCAAGTTGGACAACTATTATCATTTATCAATTAAACAGAAATAATACTATCCTCAGATTTAATTGGCAAAGAAATTAGAATTCGGAGTCAGAATGGGAACACGAAGCTCATAAGCAATATTGGTCACTTTCTTCTTGTCACATTCTCACTCTTCTATAGCATTTTTTGGAGGGAGAATGGACGGAATGACTACTTACTACCTGAGCATCATCGAGTTCAAGCTTAGTCACGGAAAATTCATACAAAGGAGGTTGACAAAAATCCCCCCAAAACCGTCTTACATCTTATGATAAGTAAGATATTGAGCAACCAAAAATTGAAGAGTTGTTGCAAATTTCATGAAAAGTAACTCACACGGAAATTGCAGCAATAAACCTGAAGAACCCTGAAGTATGCAGCTATAGATCCTAATACTATATCAAGCACTAATCAAATCAAGAAATTTCAACCAAAAAAAAAAAAAAAAAAAAAAAAAAAAACTCATACACTGATATTAAATATACTGATAATTTTGATAATTAAACATTTAAATTGATGATTTCATATAGAATCTAATCAATCTATAATCTTATTGCAATGTAATTATATAAATTAAAAGTTTAAAACTAACTTACAAAAATCGAATTTGGGGAGCCACTGCACGAGCACGACGCTACGACAACCTCACAGACGGATTGACGGACGCCTCACGCCTGACGGAGAAGCACGAAAAGGCTGCCGGTGATACGGTGAACGGCGACGGGGGCACTGGGACGGGGCTGCTGCGGATTTCAATTTGGGTGACTTTGAGACTTAGGGTTTCAATTTTGGGGGAATTGGGGATTTGGGGATATGTTCAGTGTTCTGCCTTCTGACTTTTCTAAATCATGAAAATGATGTTGTAAAGCCAAAAAAAAAATAAAAAAAAATGTGAGTAATGGGATTCGAACCCATATCTCGTATGTGGTAGGATGGGGAAAAAACCACTAGGCTGCAAGCTAAAGATTTGATACTTATTATTTTTTTTTAATAAAATAATAGGTTGTCCGCGGACCCACTATGACTACACGTGGGTCCGCCACTGCTGCCATTTAACTGTCTCTAATTAAACTAATTTGGTATGAGAGGGTATATCCTAAGCCCTCTCTCGAAGTTGCTTACATAGTTATATAGTGTATCTTAAGTCCTGTCTGCCAAATACATGAGATGTCTATAGTGGTATGAGTGGGTGCAGGAGGTGTGCGCAATAGTCTCTACAGGGTGAGTGAAGGGGTTTTTGAATCTGTGCTTGGTGAAGGTAGTGGGTCTTGTAGGTCATTTGATGGTATAGAGTGGCAGTGGTTAAACTTGGCGTCCGGTGGCCTAAATATGGTGGTTATGCTCTGTGGGGTATTGTAGGGGATGTGAGAAGATGTTGACGTAATCAGGTGGCTTTGGCGATGAGTTGGATGGTTCTGGAGGGTGTCAAGGATTGCTAGTGGTTTGGTGTCAGTATTGATAACTTAGCTTTGGAGGCAATTTATGCTTTTATAATTTATATATCATAAAAGCTTGTCAACTCTTCAAACTTAGGTCCTAGTTTTTGTGTTTTTTCTTCTGAAAGCATTCCAATTTTCTAAATGATTAAACTTGCCAAAAATTAATCTTAGTTGTAATGGATGGAATTTGGATTGGTTGAAATCCCTTTTATTGGTTTGTGTAAGCATAATGTTTGCACCTAGTTGCCCTTCTATAACTCAAAGGGTTGTGCATAAAAAGTTATGAGGTATAACTGTTTGATATAATTCTTAGTACATGTAGAGCATAATTACCATTGTCAATTATTAACACAAATGTTATGTTTTATTCTCTTGAAACTATAATCGTGTAATGATTTTATAATTGATATCAATGATATGGAATATGTCCATAAGCTTTTAATAATTGGATTTTGTGTGCCATTTCTCTGCTATCTTTTAGTTTCAGATTTCATAACTAGACAGTTTTATATTTTGTATTTAGTACATACGAAGTATTTAATTCAGTTTTTATGCTTATTGATAGGGACTGCATTGTGGAGGTGGTTGAAACATTAGCCACAACACATAATATTCAAACTATTGCATAGGATGCTGCAATTAGGTGGAAGGAGATTTCTGGTTTTTGTGATCTTCTCTTCCTTGGATTTTGTATATATATATATATATATATATATATATATATATATATATTAGTGTACTCTATTTCCCCACGCTTTGAGATTCATTTTTTGGCTAAATGCAAAAACACAAAGAAATAAAGAAATATAAAGAGGAAACGGGTGTGGTTAGAAGAAGATACTAGGGAAGTCAATGACCTTGCCTTGTACTTCATATGTGATTATGTGAATAAATGGCTAAGTGAGTTTTCTTTTTCTTTTTTTTGTTGCCCTTTCTGTACTTCAGAATCACTAAATACTGATCTAGTTATGAGTATCTTGTCCAAGCTAACTTATTATTTGTTGAATACCTTGGTGTGTGTTGATCTAGGATCTAGGGCCTTATACTGCAGTAGTAAAGGGGGATAATGAAGTAAATCTTGCATATTTACCTTTTTGTTGTTACTTTCTTTCTCTTAGTGAAGTTGATAACCTGTTATATTTGTATAATAGCTCTATTAAATAATTTTTGCGGTGGCTTTGTCGGCTTACATTTACTTATCTACTAGCTCATAGGAGTATAATTCCTCCCTTAAATTTCTCCTACTCATTGATTCATCTCTTTAGCATCGTTCTCGTGGTGTATGATACATGTAGCAAAGTCAGGGACATTAGAAAATTCTCTACCTAGCAATTCTTAGCCTTGTTTCTACTTTCTTCTATGCTAGTGTCTATTCTATCGATTGTGACAATTTCTACATACCATGAATATGAATTTTGGAGATTTGATAAGGTGTAAATTGCAGGGAAGAGATAGCCTGTGATGAAGCTGAGCTCGGGGAAGAAGAATTTGCTAAAAAAGTGCACAACCAGCATGATCTACAAGCACAGGTAGAGTTTAATTAACACTTTCAATGGTTGTGAGTAATTGTTGCTGAGTGTCACATGAAAATAGAGATGTTAAAGTATATGGGTAAATTTCACACGGATGACCAATCGGCTATTCTTGAGAAGGTATAATTTCTCTCTTCAGCTTGGTTCTGGCTAATCTGTTGTTTACTATGGTTGCGATTTTCTCTAAAAGCATAAATGTAAAAAGTGTCACATGAACAAAGCTGTTACGGTTTTTTGACTCCTTGCAAGGTTGCATGCTGAATTTGTGTATTGCTTAAATGAGGTTGCAGTTCTTGACTGCTCTTACCTCTTAGTGAGTTAGTTCTGGTGTTTAATTCTTGACTGCTCTTACCTCTTATTCCGTCTTGGTACCTCAGTTAGTTCAGGTGGTGCCTTTATTATGTGTAGTGAGATAATTGATGTAAATGAATGAAAGTATTGTTTGCATGCAACTTTTTCTACATCTATATTGTTATCTCCTTATGTGTGTCCTTATGCTGTGCTAATGGAGAGGCACTAGACTCGTTTTCATGGACGGTTAGCTGGGTTGTCCCTGTTACTGTTTTTGGTCATAATCAGGCGCAGTATAAAAAAAAAATTTAAGCAATGTACGGGGGCATTAATTTTCTGCACCGTATTGATTTTTTTTTTTTTTTTTTAATTGATGGGAGAAGAATGATAAGGAAATTCTTGGTATAAATTTTGGCATCTTTACAGACTTACAGTTTTTAGCTTCTCTTAGGTGCACACTTCTAACAATTTTTCTACTGTGCCCCTTCCAGAAATAATGGTGGCAACTTAATTAGTTCACCTACAGTGCATGAATCGGTGCTTTTGATTCCAGAATACCTTTGACTACTACTTAGTTCTATTTCTTGTTGGTTATTTAGCTAGTACTTTGTTATATTCCGGGGTGCTATTTTGTTTTTCAGACTTGGAATGCTTATCTTTTGGTAATAAATGTGGCTACTGCCACTATAAATTAATAATATTTTCCTTTTTGTGTAAAAAAAAAAAATTCTTTGCTGCCATCTTTTAAACAACCATAATCTGAGCTATGTTGATTGTGGGCTTGGTCTATTATAATTTATAATTTAGTTTAATTATATTTCTTTTATTTTTTTCAATTTTACGTGTAGGTGCATGGGGAGTGAAATGGAGCGGAAGTATAGTGACTAGCCATCTAACAAATGGTGCATATATGTTGGCGACTCTTATTCAAGATCCGGCTTTGTGAAGATTTGGATATTTCGGCTTATATATATGTTGACAATTTGTATTTTGGACGATCAAATTAATTATCTAACTTTTATTTATTATTAGTAGGGTATGTCATACCAAAAATAGGCAAGTAATATTCTGTAATGTACGTATTTTGCATTATAATTATTATATATAAATGATACTTTAATTTGTTTATGTTAGTATATTTAGATTTGTACTGACTAATTAATATTATATTACCATTTCATCCCAACAAAAAAAAAAGAAAAAAAAACTCAATGATCAATCCGTTGCAGTAGATACGTACTCCTATCATTGTATTAATTAGCTTCATCCGTTGCAATAGGTTCAATTTCATCATAATTATTAGTCAGTACTCTATTGCCACGGATAAGTTATGCCGTTGCAATAGGTATTGGTCTATTGCCACGGATCAGTGGAGCCGTGGCATTAGGTGTCATATGCCGTTGCATTATACCTACTGCAACGCCAGCAGATGCCACGGTACATGGTCGTTGCATTAGGCCTAATGCCACGGATTTTGACGCCTAATGCAACGGATTTGGGGGTTGCAATAGATAAAAAATGTAGTAGTGAAAATAGGATCAACTTAATCATTTCATTCTCTAAAATGGAGGACAATGATAGAAACACAGGTAATGTTAGAGGGTTCTTGTGAATATAATCAAATCAAATATCACGAATTCACGATCCGTGACTTGAGATCAATATATATCAAAACTCAAAAGGTCAACATCATCTCGATCCAGATTTTGAATATTGTCAATTCTATGACTTTAATAGACTAAGGTAGTTGACATCCATACATTGTTATTATGGGTGGATTGGGTAAGTAAGGAGTACGAAAGGCCACCAAAACCTTTTATTTCAAGCCTCCCTTAAAAATTGTAAATGACATAACATTTTAATTAAGCTATATAATTTGCTACATATGCCTAGATTTTAACTTGTAGCTCATCTAGAAAAGTGAGAGAGATCTACAAATTTGCTCTTCTCATTTAAACTTGATTGATATATACATGTTTTTCTTTTGGAAAATTTGCAAATTGCAGCCATTTAAAGTTCGTATTTTGCAAATTGTAGCAATTTTAAAAAAATTACAAATTGCAGCCTAAAAGTTCGTATTTTGCAAATTGCAGTCATTTAAAAAAATGCAAATTAATGGATAAAAGTTACCCTAAATTCAATAAAATTTAGGCCGAGAGAAAACGTAAAAGGATTCTGTCCCTCGCCTAAGGTTCCTCGTTGACTTGGTGCCTCGTCCCTGATTAGGGCTGCTTTGTTTGTAGTTTTTGTTGGTGATCCTGCTTATTCTACTTTCGCCCCCTGTTTCGATTGAATCATGGAGACAGATTTGATCAAGGAGTGGGAGGAATTAACTTTGACTAAAGAAGAACGAATAATTATCGGGGGTGATATTGATGAATCTAATGATGATGGATTGGATACCCAAATTTCCTTAACTTTGGTTGGGAAATTATTGACTAGTAAACCTTACAACATCGATGCCTTCAAAAGAACCCTATTTTCAGTATGGAGAGCAAAAGATGAGGTTGCGATTCATATGGTGGAAAGAAATTTATTTGTGTTTCAATTTTCAATGTGGAGTCGAAGAACCGAGTTCTAGAGGGCAGTCCGTGGTTCTTTGACAATAAACTGGTTGTATTGAAAGAGATTTCGGGAGATGAACAGCCTTCAGAGGTCTCCTTCACCCACTCACCTTTTTGGGTGCACCTAGAAGATGTTCCTTTTAATAAGAGGAAAGTCTCTGTTGCACAGGATATTGGTAATTGCCTTGGTGGATTCTTGGAGTATGATGATTCGGACCCTCTTGGCTGGGAAAAGGTAATGCGCATCAAGGTACAATTGGAGATTGATAAACCACTTCACAAAGGGCTGCGAATTGCGACGGGGAAGTCCTCTTCGAAATGGATAGCTTTGAAATATGAAAGATTGGCGGATTATTGTTTTACTGTGGAAGACTGGATCACACGGAGCGTGATTGTCAATTCTTGGATACGATGGAAGCAGTAAAAGATGAAGTTGTCTTTCAATATGGTCCTTTTCTACGTGGTTCACCACACAAAAGGAACCGCACATCAGAGGCAGAGAGGGCTCGAGAAAGCAATATGCTAAAGAAAATTAAAGAACAGAATTTTGCTAGACGGCCTAGTTACAATGATCCTGACATTATAAATCTAGGACCTCCGGGGGCAGCAAGGAAACTCCTCTTTGAGTCTCCTAACCAGGGTGGAGTGATCACCGATTACAGGGAAGTTTCCCCAAGATGCTCTACAGGCAATACCCAATTTGATAATGCTGCTGATTTTTTGCCTAGCATTTTGGAAACAACTAATAAGCGAATTGAGCCTCAAGCCCTCACTAATCTTGAGGCACAATTTATTTCTGGAAAATCGAAGGAGCTGCAGTATGTTGATATGGATACAACCGAATTTATTGCTGACAAACCAGGTCTGAAAACCTGGAAGAAACTGCCACAAAAAAGAGGTACCACTATACCTACTTCTGAAGGGGGTGAGCCTGATTCTAGGAAGCGGTTGCATGAGAGTTCGAATGATCCTGCCAATAATCATGCAACTCAAGAGAAGAAGGCAAAGATTGACTGAGGGACTTGAATTCTGCTAAAGTAGTGGGTGTTGGAGAAACCCAACCCCACAAACAGCCATGAGTACTTTATGCTGGAACTGTCGGGGATTTGGCAACCCCCGAGCAGTTCGAGCACTACATAATTGGTGCACTTCACTTGCCCCGGACCTTGTCTTTTTGTTTGAGACGAAGATCAGTAAGATTCCTTGTGAAAATAAAAAATCTACTCTTGGTTTTGATTGTGCCTTTAGTGTTAGCAGCATTGGTTTGTCAGGAGGTCTATGCCTCTATTGGAATAGTAATAAAGTTGATTTTTCTCTTGTGTCGTACTCCCAAAACCATATATGTGGTGACGTGAATTTTGTTGTTAATGGTAATTGGAGATTCATTGGTTTGTATGGTTGGCCTGAATCTTCTAATAAACATAAAACTTGGGCTCTAATTCGCGAACTCTGTGAGAACTATCAGGAACCTCTTCTGATTGGCGGTGACTATAATGAGATATTGAGCTCAGAGGAAAAAGAGGGGGGTGCGAACACTGATCGAAGAGAAATTTCAGATTTTCGTGAGACACTTAAAATTTGTGATTTGCATGATCTGGGTTTTGGGGGAATCTGGTACACATGGGAACAAAGTACTGAAACTTGAATCATCGTTCGAGAGAGAATGGATCGCTTCTGTGGTAATGCTGATTGGTGTTCCTTGTTTCCCGAAGCTTATGTTGAGCATCTTGTCCGGTTTAAATCGGACCATACTCCGATTCTTGTTAGACTCAAACGGCCTTTAAGGAAGAGGAAGAGAGGCAAAAAATCCTTCAAATTTGAGACCGGATGGCTCCTTGATAGCTCGTGTGAGGCTACTGTAAAGCAGGCTTGGGATGATTCTTCGGGTATGCTGATGCCGTATAGGTTGGAGTTGCTAATGAGGTCTTTGAAGATGTGGAGCAGCAAAAAATTTGAAAACCTTGATACAAAAATTGATGAGGCAGAGAAGCTTCTAAAGGAGGCGCAAGGGAGGGCTATGTCACATGAAAACCTGAAGTTGTGTTCTACACTCTCTGCGAAATTAGATGATCTCTTCGACAAACAAGAAGCTTATTGGTATCTTCGATCTCGCTCTTCTGAAATTAAGGATGGGGATCGAAATACTAAGTATTTTCACCACAAAGCATCACAGAGAAGGAAAAAGAACGAGATTAAAGGGTTATTTAATGCCGGAGGAACTTGGCAAGATGACGAGGAGGGTCTGGAAAATGTAGTATCAATTTTCTACAAGGACTTGTTTACCTCATATATGCCTTCTCAGGAGGGCTGCTCTAGGGTCCTTGAATCAGTGAGTGAGGTAATTTCAAATGAGCAGAATGATGAATTACTGCGACCTTTCTCTAAAGAGGAGATTTATGCTGCTATTTGTGAGATGCACCCCTGTAAAGCACCTGGACCGGATGGGATTCATGCCATATTTTATCAAAAATTTTGGCACATTGTTGGGGACGACGTGACGAGTCAAGTGAGTGGGATCCTACATGGAGTTATTTCCCCGGAGTCGATCAACAAAACAAACATTGCTCTAATTCCGAAGACTAATGCTCCGAACACTATGACTGAGTTCCGGCCCATTGCATTATGCAATGTTCTCTACAAAATTGTGTCAAAAGCAATTGTCCTCCGATTGAAAAATATTCTTCCTACTGTTATCTCGGAAAACCAGAGTGCTTTTGTCTCGGGGAGGCTGATTACAGATAATGCTTTAATTGCCCTGGAAATTTTTCATACTATGAAAAAACGGAGCACCAGTCGAAAAGGGTCAATCTCACTGAAACTGGACATGAGCAAGGCATATGATAGGGTGGAGTGGCCTTTTCTCAAAAAATTATTATTGAAGATGGGATTCTCATATGAATGGGTTAGAGTTGCCATGAGGTGTGTATCAACGGTGTCGTACTCTTTTATCATCAATGGTGCTGTTTATGGTGATATTTCCCCCTCCCGAGGTCTGAGACAAGGTGACCCGCTTTCCCCTTATTTATTCATTATGATTGCTGACGCTCTCTCTGGTATGATTCGACAAGCAGTGGAGACTAGAGCTCTGCACGGGATCCGGGCTAGTAGGAACGGGCCAGAGGTTACTCATTTATTTTTTGCAGATGACAGTTTACTCTTTGCTAGGGCTAACCGTATGGAATGCTCGAAGATAGTTGATTTACTCAACTCGTATGAAGTAGCTTCCGGTCAGAAAATTAATTATGAGAAGTCGGAGGTGTCCTTTAGCAAAGGTGTGTGTGTGTCAAAGTAAAATGAGTTGATTGAGTTGTTAGGGATGCGCCATGTTGATGAGCATGGAAAGTACTTGGGAATTCCCACAATTATTGGCCGTTCCAAGAGGTCAATTTTTGCAGCATTGAAGGACCGAATTTGGAAAAAACTTCAAGGTTGGAAGGGGAAGCTTTTATCGAGAGCCGGAAAAGAGATACTCATCAAGTCGGTCATCCAAGCCATCCCAACATATTTGATGGGTATTTACAGAATTCCCTCTGGAATTCTTGACGATATTCGCTCTCTCACAGC